ATGTTATGTATTTTGGGTTTTGTGTGTGTTTTAGCTTTAGTTTTCATATTTTAAATTTCTGTGCAGCTCATTATACATTTAAAGGGGAAGGGGGATCCCTATGTCTTGATGGGGATTCCGTATTATAGAGCCTAGTACAGAAAAGTCCGAGGCCAAGGGGAACACTTCCATAATACATTTTGATAACATTTTTGATGAATGGAACTATCTCTGTTACCTCCTGTGGGCCTAGAGGAAAGAGAAATCTCTGAGACCATTCTTGTTGAGAAAATACAAACAAATGGGCCTCAGCTGCTAGGTTTGGAATCCAACTCCCACATTTCTTAGACAGAAATAGGGAAATACATATAAGGATAGATTCAGAATACGTTAGGCATTCGCACCCTGCTTGATGATTAAATTTCTACAGACCATGAGGCAGGAGCTGTTGAATGCTCAGCTCTAGCAACCCACACTGACAAACATTTTAATCAGGTTTCACCAAGACCAAAAATAGGGCAATTTTATAGAGATGGATAACGGAAAACAGGGACACTTGGAAAATATGAAATGTTGCTTGTTTTGCAGCCCCTTTTGTTGTTTCTAGTTGGTTCTGGCAAATCTCACAAAATCCAGAAACCTTATAGATGCAGGGAAATAAACTGGCATGGTGGTGGAAGTGCCCTCAAGTCACAGCCAACTTATGGTGACCCCATTGGGTTTTCAAGGCAAGAGAGGAAACGAGGTGGTATGCCATAGCTTTCTTCTGTGTAGAGACCCTGGACTTCCTTGGTGGTCTCCCATCGAAGTACTATGCAGGGCTAACGCTGTTTAGCTTCCAAGATCTGATGAAATTGAGCTAACCTGGGCCATCCAGGTCAGGGTATATTGGTATAAATACCCTTAATGATTACTACAATATAGCTTCACATTTTCCAACATGAGAAGTAATGGGCTTGCTGGCAGTAGCTCAGTGCAGCTTCCCCGTGTATTTATTATTTATTTATTTATATTCAGTGTATACCCTGCCCTTTTAAAGGTGTTATGGGCTGCAGCGGGTGAGCGGGAAGGAGAAAAGCCTGCTCTGGTACTGGATGCTGCTATCTAACTACCTTCCACCCACACAGAGACCCTACTAAGGCACTGCTCTGGATTGACATGAGACAACATTTGTGTCTTGATGGAGTCTAGAGAAGGTCTTTGGGCAAAAGGCAAAGAGCGACACTATTTTCATAGTGTTTTTCCTGCAGTAAATTCATAAATCAACCCTGACTGTTCCCTGGAAGGCCAGATAATGAAACTGAAGCTCAAATACTTTGGCCACCAAATGAGAAGGGAGCACTCGCTGGAGAAGACCCTGATGCTGGGAAAGATTGAAGGTCACAGAAGACGGGGACGGCAAAGGATGAGATGGTTAGACAGTGTCATAGATGCAACGAACATGAAATTGAGCCAACTTCAGAGGACGGCGGAAGACAGGAAGGCCTGGCATGATCTGGTCTATGGGGTTGTGAAGAGTCGGACTCGACTGTGCGACTGAACAACAAAAATTCATAAAGGCAGGTTTCCAAAAATGAAACTGATATTGCTAAGGACGAGGCCAGGAGCAACCCAAGACCGAGATGAAAGCCAGGTCATTTCAATGGTTTATTCTAGCACAAAACCAACAATAATAATGATGTCTGTTGCAATATGATTGTGGATGAAATAATTTTTAATGTCCTCATTCATCTAGTAGTTAACAACTGTACGAAATTCTCATTAGACCTGCAGAAAGCTGGCTTAGAAGTTCATGTTTTGTGTGGTACTGTTTATTAGGAAACATATAATTTGTCCTGCCTACTTCGTGAATCAGATTGTACTCTGAGAGGTAGACAACAGTCAGGATTTTTTTAGCCCGGGGTGGGGGGAAGGGGGAGCGCTGCTACAGATCCATCTCTGTGTTTAGAGGCCCAGATTTCCCATGTGGTGCTTTTGCCACAGTTGTGACCTTTTACCTTGCAAAGGAAGATTTGGTAATGGTTATCTGTGTTCTGATCACATCTAGGTTAGAGTGTTATGATGTAATTCAAATGCATCTACCAGATTATTGAGTCGCTCAAGTTATACAGAGCACATTACATTAGTCCTGAAAGCTTCACTGGCTGCAAGTGTCGTCGTCGTCCCCGTTCCCCCCGGGAATAATTCAAAATGTCAGTTCTTAACTGACAGGACCAGAATAATCACCTTCTCTTATATCAACTTGCCCATCAAGTTAAGCTGTGCTTCTCGGGACCTTCTGTGTTTGCTAGCCATGGACAGGGCCTTTTCAGTGTCATCCCTTCTTCTATGGAATGCCCTCTGCATTGTGGCTCTGTTTTTCCCCAGCATCGGACAGAAGCCTTTGGGGAAGGGGGCTGGGCTTAAGTTCTTTCCATTTTCAGCCTCATTTTTTGGGTTTTGATTTATTGTTTCTTTGTTAGACAGTTTTCCATCTTTTTGATGCTATTTTTATGTTATGTTCTCCTCTACTGCTGTCTGTGGTGAAATTTTAGTCTCTTGCCATGTGATCTCATTTGGTCCATTTGATTTTATTGTTTTCTGCTGTTTTGCTGTTTTTATTGTGCAATGTTAGATCATTTGTTTTAGTCTTTATATGTTGGAGTACATTGATAGAATAGTGATTAATAAAAATTTAAATAGAAACTGTCCACAGTGACTTCATAGGCTGCTGTGGCATCATGTGCTGAGGGAGAAGTTATTTTCTCACAAATCAAAAGTGCCGCTGTTATATTTCAGACAGAGAGAAAACCTGTAAAATGTTTGGGGGTAGGGCAGCCTCCGGCTTGACAAACAGCTACCCATCCATCAACCCAACCATAATGCCAGACCCCCTACAGGTTTACTTTCTAGCTATTTCAACAAACCCTTGATAAATGTTTAGCAAGGTGAATGTGTGATAGAGCCGCAGCTGTATTTGCTTGATGGATCAAAACTGGCATTATACCAGTTAGACCATTATAATATAAGCCTCTCCTTTTCGTAATAAATCAAATTGCAGTAATAGAGTGAATGTCATACTTATTATTTATGCTTTATGTACTGGGGGGAAAGACACTAAAAGAAATGTGCCACAAATTATTTAGAAGGTACTTTATTAATATGCGACAGGCAACTTGATTCTTTGAAGCCTTTAGGATGGGCTTCAACAGTTAAGCCCCAGTCAATGAGAGATGGAGGCCTCTAGTTCTGTGCCATTTGTCTTCAAAAACTCCATATCTTGGTCTTAGTGTAAGTCAGTGTGGATGTGCTGTTGGCATGGGGATGGGAGAAAATATGGCGGTTTCCAAAGCCCTTGTTGGAAGCCATGCTGTGGGATGCTTCTGTGCCACACTGACATTTCTTCCATTTCACTAATACCTGCTGCTATCCTGCCACATTGCCAGCTCCACAGCATAGAATCAGAGTGTGAATTCTGTACATGTGAATTCTACATGTTTATTACAAAGCAAGTATAGGGTAGGAGGTGCTGTGAAGTTCTCACCTTGATAGCGAAATTAGAAATTGCAGTGGCTGCTGAATACCCCCAATCAATCAATCATCATTGATTATGGTCATGGACCGGCAGAATAAGCATACATAAAACAGAATAAAACATACCCTGAATAGCCACTCTTGACTAGAGGCAGGCTTTAGTCCCAAGCTGTGTCTGCTCCACCAGCATGCCTGTTTCCCACGAGTTTTGTGAGTGAGTGTTCTGATCCTAAGAAACTTGAATGCTTTCTCAAAAGTAGATAGTCAAGAATGCTTCAGCCTCTGCTACTTCCTGTTAGGCTGGAACCTTGCCTAGCAAGCATTTGGTCCCATTGGTTCATTCAGTAAGGGGGGGAGGAGAGAATACAGCTTTTCTCCTCTTTAGTATGCAAGTGACAAGACCATGGCATCTCAGTTTGCTGCTTGAAGGGAACAGGCTGGATTGCTGACTATGGGTCGCTTCCTAGCCTGCAGTTCTGAGTAACAAGCTTGCTGGAGCAGTGCTAAAAAGACCGGTGCTTGCACCTGGGCAAGCGCAGGCTTTTGTCTGCCCCCCCCTCCACATTCTTGAATGGAATCAGGGGGAGCGGCGGAGCCTATGGGGGCCCAAGCAGAGCACGGTGTCAGCTAGCTGCCATAGGAGGCTGGGAGGCAGTTGGTTCCCCCCCCCCACTCTCCCCTGGCATCTGCGCATGCCCTATCTTCCCTGTGTATGATCTTGTCTCATGCATTCCTGTCTGTAAACGCTAGGCAACGCTTATCTGCAAGGTTAACAGGTGTGTGGGGGAGCTGCTTTGCCAAATGTATAATGAACTGTACCGTGTGAAGCTGTAATTGTTTGGGGTTTTAGGAACGTTGCTTCTCAGGCTTTTGAGCGCGTAACCTGAAGTCTGCCCGCTCGGCGGGAATGGAGGTTATTGGTTATTACCCTGTTTGAATGTCTTACATTATTCCTTGCCCATCCTGGCCCAGGCATTCTGGACAGTGAACTTGTTCCTGCTCTATCATAGCTTTAATAAAATACTACTTTGCCTAAACATGTATTGGATTAATAGCTCCTATGGGGGCCCGAGCAGAGCACGGGCCTATTAGGAAAGGACTGGCTGGCCAGAGTAGGTGATACTCACAAGGTAGCGGCCATTCCAGCCATGGAAAAGCTTGCTGGAGCAGTGCTAAAAAGAGAAGGGACCACCTCTTCAAGTAGGTGTGCCACTTACTAACAAAGGGTGCTTCCAGAATAATCACAAAGTACAGACTTTAGCAGCTGTTCCCGGATCATATCCAAGAAATGCCGCATGGGGCTGATAGTACCTGAAATAATAATAGAGGAGGTACCTCTGAACATAAACAAAGTGTCTGTCTTGCACCGCAGATAAACACTGCTGCATGCCTTTCATTAAGGAGTTGACTTTTAGGTCAGCAGGCAAGACTTTGATGCCAGTCTTAGTGTTAGAAATAACTGCTGAACAGCATCGTTACACCAATCTTTTCTTTCTGTTTCTGTACAGTTACCAATTACAACAACGTTGTAGAAACCAATTCAGATTCAGATGATGAAGACAAATTACACATTGTTGAAGAGGAGAGTGTAGCAGATGCAGCGGATTGTGGTGACAGCGTGCCAGATGATGACTTGCCAAAAGACCATACAGTATTACCAGAAAGCAGTGAAAGAGAAGGAAGTGCAAACAGTTGCTGGGAAGATGAAGGTATGTGTCATAAACTGTGTATCCACCCAAGAAGATCATGTTAAAATATTGTGTTACACTAACATTACTCTTTGTATGCTGCATTAAAAGATGTAGGAAACAAACATTCTTTCTTTGGGCTCTGTTTTTGTATAAACTGGTTTTTTTTTAATTTACATCACTTATTTTGTTGGCATAACCTTACCTTGGCACAGGGGGTACAAGAGACCAATGAGCTACCATAGCAGGATTCTGACAAAGCCCTGCTTGTCTCCTGCCATGTCCTTAATGCCACCTGGTTTTCTCCCTTTGTGCTGATGGTACTCCACTGACAAAATGGTTGTTTGTACCAATGGTAACCATACCATACTACCAGCCAGGGCTATTTTTGGGCAGGAACGCACAGGAACGGAGTTCCGGCTGGCTCCTGAGTTGGTCACGCCCAGCAGGAACTCATTAGCATAATAGGCCACACCTAATAGCAGAAACTCACTAGGATTAGGGTATGTGTGGCCTAACATGCAAAGAAGTTCCTGCTACAAAAAAAAGCCCAGGGTTTTGACAACAAAGTAAACAGAATAAGAAGCAAAAGGTGGGTGTGGCTGGACAGCAACATTTCTGGTAACATGGGGTGTGGCCTAATATGCTAATGAGTTTCTGCTGTTGGGTGTGGCCTACTATGCTAATAGTTCCTGCTGGGCTTTTTCTACCAAAAAAAGCCTTGCTCCCAGCACAATGGCATTGGTTATGATGGCATCACTTCACAATGCCCGCTCATTGTTTTCCGCTCCATTTACTCATTCTGTCTTTATCTGGCAGATGTCAATCAGAGATGGAAGTGTACTACCTTAAAAAAAAAATTTTTTTTTAATTATAACAAAAGCTTTTCTAAACCTTTCTGTTTTCCATAGGAAAACACCAGTGCCTGGAGAATCTAAACTCATACAATTCTGCAGTATACTTGTGTCCAATGTAGATGAAATTGGGGTCTACCCAAATGTCAAGAGCTATTTTATTTCATACATGATGTGATCCCGGTTGGCACTAAAAGAATAATGAAGACTAACTATGCCCCAGCTCTTAAAAGTACCTAGTATAAAATTCTACTGAGGGAGGTTAGTTTCTCTGTAAGCCTCTTTAGCTGTTTTATAGTGTGTCTACAGAGAAGATTCAGCTGTGCTCGGGCTGCTTGCTTCAGTAGTATTAAATCCAATCCTATCAATACTGAATCCCATAAATTCCTTAGGTCTCCTCGCCTTAATACTCTCACCTGGTATAGCAAAGGAGGTAAGCAGTTTTAAGTTATGTTCATGCTCTCACTCTAACAAGAGGAAGCATTTGCAATCCTTTATTATGAAGCCAAATGTTTCTGGTGACGATAATACAAAGAGACAGCCAGGACATATGTTGCCAGTTTAAACTAATCTGTCACCCTTATTGGCTAAACTGGGAGACTTGCAGCATGATCTAACAGCCAGCTCCCGCATTCATAAAAAGCAACACCCTCCTAGAATTGTGATATTTTTGTGAAGTACTGCCTGGAGCACGCATCTTTACCTTGCTTCCTTTGCTTTCTTGCCTCCTTTCTTGCCCTGTGGAAGGGAGGGGCTGGTGTATGGTCTGGGTTTCATAAAACACTTCGCTATGTGTTTTTTGACATTTATTCTTAAGAGACTAGAAAAAATGGTGCTGTATAACTTGAGGGTTTGAAGCACCTTGCAGTTGACATTTATTGGATTAGTGGGGACCAGACAAAATCCACAGCCTGTGGCACAGCTGTGTGACAACTTCACCAAATCTTAACAAAATATCGGATAGGTTAAAAGACGGCATTTTTTGTTTCATCACTGATTTCTTGTTTTAAATCCAATATTTAAAAAGTACCTGCAAGACAATAGGGTGAGGGGGCTATGGGCCACCGACAGAACATCTGCTTTGCACGCAGAATGGCTCGAATTTAGGCTCTGGCATCTCCAGTTGAAAGGATCAAGTAGTAGGGCTTGTGAAAGATATCACCTGAGCCCTGAGAGAGCTGCCGCCAGTCGAAGTAGACAATACTGACCTTGATAGATTAATGGTTTGAGTCAGTATAAAGCAGCTTCATGTAACATGAGCAGTTGTGCGTGAGGGGACATTGTATATATTATATGTATTCGCTTTCTAAGTAATAAAGTTACTTAAACGTCTCACCAAGGAATAGTCACATGATTTAATCTGGACTTCTCCAGGTTTGGTTTTGTGTGAGTAAGGCACATTTAAACACTAGAAAATAATGGCTTGTGATAAAACTGTGAAAATGGTGATCACATCATCTTCCAACTAAGAAGACAGGATTTCTTAAATGAGATAGAGGATAATTTCACAACCTCCAGTATAATGTTTAAAGCTGTACATAAATCGAATTTAATTACCAGTCATATTTTTGAAATCAGGGCTGTTTCTGGTAGCATTCTGTGAATTCTTTATGAGGACAGCAGATAGCATCAACTGAAATCCTGAAGGTTTCTCTGTTGTCTTCCTTATAATTTGTTGATGGTTTTTGAGGCTGGGCTGTGAAATGTTTACTTTTAAAATATTCATACCAGGTGGGTTCTCTAGGCATGGGAGCAGCCCACCTTTGGGATCGCCTCTGGTGATGGCCAATCCACAAAAGCTCACATGGGTCACTCGTACCTGTGGGGTTGTGGTCACACCCATCACCTTTTTTATTTCAGCATCAATAATATTATTTGTAGCTGGTAGTAACTGCAAACGTTTTACTAAAGGTTTTACTTGTATAATAATGTCTATCCAGCCTTATCCTCAGGGGAGGTGACAACTATCAACAGCCAGTAACAGACAAAACATTTTAAAACATTAAAAAAACTAACAAATTAATACAACCCCACAAAAAAGGCCCATTTTACAGGCTTTCCAGAAAGCTTTCCAGACCAGCAGTCCTCTCTCGAGAAGCGGTACCACCGCTGAGAAATCCTGCCCACAGTGTGTAAGCTTGACAACTGGAGTGCCCTGCCAGCAAGGCCTGTTGTATAAAGACTTAGGGTGTGATTAGACAAAATGTTAAATGTGAATCGGATTGGGGGAGACCCCAATTCATAGGTCCCTGACAGGGTATCCATGGGCGCCATGTGCTTATCTGGGACCCCCTAAGTATTTTTTAGGAAGTGGGCAGGGCTAGGTGGGCTTTTGCCCGGAAAGGCTTCTGATTGGCCACTGTCGATTGGTTTGGCTGTGCAGCAATTTTTTAAAAAAACGTTGCTTTGGCATGCCACCACAGCACAAGGATTTTCACTGGGTAACTGAAGGTAAGCTGTGGCAGCCATTTTGTGGCAGCCACTTTGTAGCTGCAGTCACCATGCTGTGTCAGAATTCCAGTGGTGCCTGCAGGCTCAAAAAGGTTGGGGACTTCATGCCCCCTAACCCATCTTGTGTTAAATGTGTGACTAGAACTCACCTTCAGAATGGGGGGATGGGATCCTGAGTACACATGCAGCAGCAAAAGAGGCTTTGTCATTCCCTCTCTTCCACCCTGCCTGCTGTTGCAAGCAGAAAAAGGCTGGAGGGGTGGGGTCTTACTGTTGGCCTTACTGCTGGTTCCATGTGTCTGGTGGTTCCACATGTCTGTTATAGCCCAGTACCAATATTATGTAGTCTTTTCTTACTGTAACAAGATTTTAAGGGAACTCTCTTTGGGGTTACTGAAGGCCAATTCACATGTTACAAAGTCCCCATGTTCCCCCCTTTCTGGAATTTCTGGGAAATTCAGCTCACTTTAATAGTCATGAGCTTTGTTGAGTGTTCCTGTGGTCTGAGGGGAATAGTTTCCTCAGCCATCAAGAGGATAAAGATGTTGCTTTGAGTAAATGAGAGAGATTCTGGCTTACATAAAACATTAATCCTCACTCTTCTGTCATATCATTTAGCTAGTAAAGAAGTAAAAGAAATCCTGGGGCCTGAAGCTCAAGCAGATGAACCTGGATGTGCAGGTAATTTATTCCTTAGTTTGTTTTTATGATACTTTGCGTTTTTGTGAGGTTTTGATAACTCTGCATTACTGAGGAAGATATCATTAAGTCTTTTGCTAACTTTTCCCACCTTTGATTTCCTTTGGTGTAGGCTTGCCAAGTCCCGCCCCAGAGGCCCATTCCCCGCCGCCGGCGGATCAGGCCCCGGGGGGAAGTCCACCCCGACGTGCGTGACAACCGGAAGTGATGCGGGCACGCTGGGGGTGGGGCCACGGTAATCCGAGTGAAAACTCTATGGTTTTCCCTCGGATGGTCGTGGCCCAGCGTGCCCGCGTGCCGGCATCACTTCGGGCAATGTGGATGCGGCGCGCGCGTGCTCCAGCCGCCAGCCGGGAGTCCCCCGCTGCAGCTGAATTCACACTTGGCAACTCTACTTTGGTGTCTGTGCCACATTTGGGACTTTACTATACAAATGCTCCTATTCCTCCTGTTAGAGCAATGTTTGCTCCAAAGCACTCCATTTCCCTGACTGCTGTGCCTCTGCAGCCACTGTACTGTTTGTTGGTTCACGGAGCACGAGCAGTGGATGAAAAATGTATTTCTGGCCTATTGAAAGATCCAAACAGGGCAATATGATGGGACACAGCTGAGGTTAACAACATTAGCCAGAGTAAGGCTTCATTTTAAGTTCAAAAGTGTAGCTAACATCATCTTATAGAATGTGCCACATATTACTTATTGCTTTTCACTGTCTTTTATTCATATGGGAAATAATGGCTTGATGCCCAAGGCCCTTGCTGTGGACACATCCCTTTGCTTCCTGAGGGCTCTAAGAATTTTCATGCATCCCTCGAACTGCTGTTAGAATCCTGGGAATCTGAGTGTCTATCCTTAAGGATACCTTGACATATATTTGCAAATACAGTTACCATAGTGTTAAAAGATCAAAAAAGAAGTTGGACCCCTTCCTCCCACTAGATCCTCTACCGTATCCATGCTGTATGTCCAGTACTTTGCTATGCGAAGGAAGCTTTGACTATATTTTTCTAGTATGATGCCTTTTCCATTGTTTCTGTACATCAAGTTGGAGCTACTAGATTGTGGCCATTATGTCTTCCATAGTCTAGACTAAACCTTCTTTAAAAAAGATTAATTCAGGCTTAATACAGAGGCTAACAAAGTGGTGGTAGAGCACTGGCATTTTTCAAGTTTATGACATTTTTTATTTTTTTTAATTCATTCCATCATAAAAACCCTAACTACAAAACAATCAGTTTACCAGTAAAAACAGCATTTACAATTAATGGTAAAACTGACATCCAGGTTGTAAAAATAACAAAACTATTTTTAGGTTGTTGTTGTTGTTGTTTTTTAAAGCCCTTGTGGATTCCAGCTGGCAGTGTTCCTTCAGGAAAGACTATTGTACATGTGGGGCCACCACAGACAAGGACCTGTCCTATGTCGCAGTCCGCGTAATGTCTGATGGAGCAGGTGCATGCGCTGTAAGCCTCGTCAGATCTTATAAGGCAGAAAGGCATGGTGGTTTGTGTGCAAATTGTGATATCAGCTGCAATATGTACTTTCACCGTGACTCTTCAAATCATAATCTATTGCTGACATGGCCTTCATTGCTAAACAAATTTATTTTATTTATTTATTTCCTTCATGTGTTCCTCACCTTTCCCTCCAATGAGGACCCAAAGTAGCCTACATTGATTATCTGAAACTTGGGGGGGGGGTGCTTAGAGGAGACAGAGGTCTGTTACAGAGAAGCAGAGGGTATAAGGAGCTGTAGAATTATTTATTTTATTTATTTATTTGCATTTTTACCCCGTCCTCCCCGCGAACGGCTCAGGGCGGCTTACACGGGGGCATAAGCCCATATTGGTGGAAATTCCCTGTATGGATTTAACCAGGCTGTGAATCATTCTGTTGGATCCTTGCATATTCTGCTGTGTGTCCAGGGAGCTTGTAGTTCTACAGGCCTTAAAACTGCAGAAGTCAAATGCTTGGCAGATTATTGGTTTTTGTTCAGAAAATGTTCTTTTTGAGCTCAGTACAAATTTCAGGGGATGGTGGAAGAAAGAAAATATGAGTGAAAATTAATGTACCTCTTCAGAGTTGTTTTGGTTGGTCAAGTAATTTTATATAAGCTGTAAAATTAGGACTACGCTGAAAGTTTGCTTGCCTATATTTTGCCTGCATGTATATTTGGGAGCAGACATGAGGAACTTGATCTGTATCTCAAAAGGCAGCAGGATTTATTTGCAGACTGTTAGTTTTTTAGCTGCTTCTTGATTGGCTGCAGCTTCAGCACTTTTGAAGCAAAGCAACTTTACTAGGTTGTATTTGTCCTGAGGACAGTGATACACCAGCCAATCAGCGCTTCTAAAAACAGACTTATCACTTCCCTGTCACCAGCAACTTTCCCTAGCTACTGGCTGAGCTGTTTGATATAGAATACTTATAAACATTCAGATATATCTGAATGCTTGGATACATCTGGTCCAAATATATACTCAAAAATACCTTATTGGTGTTTTTTGGATATATCTGTGGTTTAATTGATATTCGGAAATACCAGTATTCCAATCCTGAATATTCCTGGAAATATCTGGGAATATCTGGGACCAGTATTTTAAAGCTCCAAACTTGGTTTTATTTGGGCTTGTTGTTTTGTTTTTGTTTACTTTTTGCAGGTTTCCCAAACAGCAGGAGGAGAGGAAGGAGGCAGCTCTTACAGACAAATGAGATCATGCATTAGGGGGAGCTTGCCAGATTGGGTCTGGTGGGATTCTCTGGTTTGACATTGATTCTGTTAGGCTGGAGATAGTGTCTCTTCCCTAGCTTCAGTTGGTTTGGCTTGGATATTGAATGTGGTGGGTTTGCCACATTAGCCTGAGGGTCTGCTGGGGTTCTCTGGTTTGAAGTTGGCTTTGTTGGGCTTCTTGGTTCTGTTTGCATTGGGAAGATTTTGGCTAGTTGTTGCATGCTCTTGTGTGTTTGGCTATTCTTTGCCCTGCAGAAAGCATGGAATGTTTTCCCCATAGGAAATAATGGATGATGGCTGGAGGCACCTTGTTCATGGGATCAAGGGGTTCAATTCACTTGAAAATTGGGGAGTCTTTGGTAAATAGGCAGCACCAACTCCATTCCAATTTTGGTGTCATTTGCTCGAAAAAGAGCCACTCCAATCACCTGGAAATATTCCCCATAGGGAGTAATGGATGCAAATAATTTTGGAATCCTGGGGAAAAAATCAGTTACTGGTACTGGAGGCCTGAATAATCCAGAATAAAGATAATTATGCCCTCACTGAAATCCTTATCTGAAAAATACCAAATATTCGTCTGGTGCATATCCCTAATTCAAATTGCTCTGGGTGACTGTATCGGCAATAGAATGCTGGCAAACACTGTGAAGGAAATTCATTTGGGTTGGAAAAACTTCACATATGACTGTTATATATATTTTAGTGTTTTACATAATTTATTCTGACTACAGGACTTTGGTGAAGATAAAGTAATGGAAGAAGAAAATAATAATATATAGTCAGTTAAGTAGCCATGTAAAATCGGTGAGAATCTCTGCAAAGAGTTTGAGCACTCTTTGGGCTCCTGGGTTTTTGCCTCATGTTTACAACCTCTTCTGTAGCCTTGAAGACTAGAATCATGTCATTGTTTCCCTTAAAAATTAAAGCCAAATTCATGTCAGGTTTGTGGTTTTCACAAAGATATCAAAGACACATGGAATGCATAGCATCTTCAGTACAGATTTGCAAACCTAATATTTGTTGTTTAAAAATCTTAACATTTTTCAAATTGTCTTTTACTTCTAGTAAAAGAAGATGAATGCGATTCTGATGCAGAAAATGAACAAAATCACGACCCAAATGTTGAAGAATTTCTGCAGCAAGAAGATACAGCAGTTATCTATCCGGAAGCACCTGAGGAAGACCAGAGACAAGGCACACCAGAGGCCAGCGGTCAAGATGAAAACGGTAACGGATGTTTCGGTTTTCCTTCATTTGTAGCACCATTAATTGAAAACAAATGCCAAAAATGTTGCCTACTGCTTTAAAAATTATTAAATTTGAACATGGTGCCATCTTGGCTTTCTAGTGTAAGATCTTTGTTTTCCAAACTTGCATTTATCTTCTTAGAACTTTCCATTTATTTCACACAAATCTGCCTTCTGCTCTCTTTACCTTAAACTTTTGAGTAATGTATAGGAATTCAGATGGAATAAATTAATATTATTTCATCTAAATAATCCCATCCCTTAAGTACCATTTGGAGTTATCATATATATATATATAAATCTTCAAGAGTCATTGACCCTTGACTGAATTGCATCCCATCCTTGCCAGAGCATCTGTGGTTGGCTTGCGTAGCCATATGTTTTAAAGCCAGTTTGCTGTAGTGGTGAAGAGCGGCGGACTCTAATCTGGAGAACTCCTCCATATGCAGCTGTTGTGTGACCTTGAGTCAGACAAAGGTTTCTCAAAGTTGTTCTCTCAAGAGCACTTTTCTCAAAGCTCTCTTGGTCCCACCTACCTCACAGGCTAGGTTCCCTTTTAGCTGCGCCAGGCTGTGCTGGTGCACCAATTTCCCCCGATCAGTGCAGCAATTTTTTTCACAGCGCAGGGGCAGGAGGTTCCTTTCCCAATGGCCATGCAGGCCCAGGCCAAGGTGCATCTTCGCAGAGCGGCGAGCGGGCGAGCAAAAGGCAATGAGGAGAAGCGGGGGAGAGCACGGGGCACCTGCGCATCCATCCCTCCCTCTCCCGCTCTTGCCTGGGCAGGAAGAGACACACAGCCGAACAGAGAGCCCCCTCACACCGCTCTCATCATCCTTCCTTGGTGAAGCACCGCTGCGCAACTCCCATCCCTCCGCTGCCTGGTTCACCTCCTCTCCTCTCCCCACCCTTCTGCATCCCTTTAGTGCAGGGCTGGCCCCTGCGTGGGGCGCTCACCACCGCAGCAGCAGCAAGAAGCCCCTCGGAGGCTCCTGGCACTGGCGTTTGAGGGCAGAGAAGAAGCCAGGATCCTGGTGGCTACCCGCTTTGTTTCCTGGCCGTGCTGGAGCCTGAGCACGTGGCCTGGCTTTAGTTTAAATGGGAGTGCAGATCTGGGTTCATTTCTATATTTAAAGCGACAGGGCACCAGGAAAACAATGCAATAACCCATTCAAAGACCGGCTTGGTCTTCTCACCACTCGACCCTGTGTAATACTGGGCATAGGGTTGCCAGGTCCCCCCTGGCCACCGGAAGGGGATGGGGGAGTAGTGTTGCCAACTTCAGGTTGGGAAACTCCTGGAGATTTGGGGATGGAGCTTGGGATGGACAGGGACCTGAAGGGGACACAATGCCATAGAGTCTCCTCTCCAAACCATTCATTTTCTCCACGGGAACTGATCTCTGTAGTCAAGATGAGGTGTAATTCCAAGAGGTCCCCAGGTCCCATCTGGAGGGTGGCATCCCTAACTGGGGGGGGGGGGGGTTGTCTCCTGACAGTTCTGGTTGTTTCTCACAAGGAAACCCCTTCTGTGTATGCCTGTGGGTGACTTCTCTGTGTATAAGAGAAGCAGGCTGACTGGAAAGTCTAAATGGCCCAGGAACAAGCCCAGTTCAACAGCCTCTCTGATGCTCAAGTCAGGGCCAAGCCATCCAACCTCCAAGTATTACACATCTTCTTTATTCAGACTTGAAGTTTTAGAGCAGCTTACAATCTCCTTTCCTTCCTCTCCCCACAACAGACACCCTGTGGGACTGAGAGGCCTCTGAGAGAACTGCTGTGACAGAGCTGTGACTGGCCCAAGGCCACCCAGCTGGATGCATATGGAGGAGGGGAATTAAACCCAGTTCTCAGATTAGAGCCCACCACTCTTAACCACTGCACCAAACTGGCTTGAAAATTGGTAGGCGCACAGGGGGGGGTGCCAGAAGGTAGCCTCGCCTAGTGCACACAAAAAAACACCTTGCACCGGCCCTGGCTAGAGCACCCAGGCTGGGATCCATGCAGAACCGCAGGCCATGGGCAAGTTTCTCCCTCCTCCAAGTCAAGCTTTAGGGAAAAAGCAGTAATGCACCTTATATTTTTCCTGTGGTTTTTTTCAATCTGCTATAAATGCTCCTGCACAATTTCAGTTCAGAATAGCTCTGTAAATTCCAGGATTCTCAGTTCAAATCTCCTTCCCCAGACCTATATGCTTTCCTTGTATGCTATTCCTTTTGCCACTGGTATTTAGCTGCCAGTGAGCCTTGTTGGTACCTTGCCACAGAATGCATTCTCATGATCTCTCTTTCACGATAATGCAGCAATCTCACTCTGAAGAGGGCATTTTCCCAAGTTGAACAGAGTTGGCTAATGATTTTCAAATAGCATTCTCAGTGTTGGCTCTTAATTAAAATAAAATACTATGGCTGATCAATCTGGAGTTGGCAGGCAGAGGGTGTGTATGCTTTATTATTAGAAGGGGGGGAGATAAGGCTAAGGCATGAGGCTAGGAGGACTTAGCTAACTTGGTGATACTGTTCATGGCTATGATGTAGAAATCATTTCAAAAATATAGTTTGAAAGAGTCATATAGTATGTTCCATATAAATATAAATGTTTAATATAAATATATGGCTTGTAATACAAATGATAATAGTATATATGTTATGTCTGTATGTTTTGTATGTTTGTACACTGAAATAATTTTTTTTAAAAAAATGTCGAACTGCTCATAGTTTTAAAGCTAGCACCACTTTTGGCTCACAGGGTAAAATTTCTGCTCACAAGACTGCACGCCTTAGAGGGAACATTGCTCACAGGGTGTCTGTTGTGGGGAGATAAAGAGACTCCAAGTGAAGGGTGGGGTATAAATCCAATCTCCTCTTCTTCTTCTTTTAGAACTGTGGTCTTCGACCTTTCCAGACCTTTCCCAGACAAGTTCAAGGATATGTTTATGTTTAAATGCGACTTTACATGTGTACATACTTTCTATGCCACAGCTTTTTCTTAAGCTTTATTAGTTCAGAAATAATATGATAACAGTCTAGCTAGTTAGCTAAGCTCTGGTTTACTGTGGGGAAAATCTGTACTGTCAGCTTCACTGGCATATTGATTTTCTCTAATTCATTTTCATTAACTCCAATATTACAGAGTAGGGGAGAGTGAAAAATCTTTCCCTTGCAGTTTATTTTATTGTTTTATTTGTTTAGAAAATGTTTGTGCCACCTCTTAAGGAACCTGCCCAAGGTGGCTTACAAAACAAATGATTAAAGCAAATAATTAACGGTATTAATTAAAATCTATCATGGGGGGGACAGCCCAGCATAAAAACACAGAGCATAAAACAGATCAGAGGCAGCTTAAAATAAATTTCCAGACTAAAACAGTACTTTTAAAAAATCAACCCATTAATTAAAAGCCTGGGTAACAGAAATGTTTTGGCCTGGCGCCTAAAAGAATGCAGTGTAGGCACCAGGTGAGTCTCAAAGGTATGGGCATTTCACAAGCAAGATGCTGTTACTGAAAAAGCCCTGCCTCTGGTTGCCACCCTCCTTATCTCTAAAGGTGGGAGCTACAGAGAGCAGGGCTTGTGAGACAAGTGTTACTGAAAAAGCCTCTGGTTGCCACCCTGTAGTGGGGGCTACAGAGAGCAGGGCTTGTGAGACAAGTCTTAACTGGCAGGCTGGACAATATGGAAGGAGGTAGTCCTTCTAGTATCCTGATCCCAAGGCATTTAGAGTTTTAGAAGTAAGAACCAGCACTTTGAATTGTGTGCAAAAACAAATGGGAAGCCAGTGCACTGGAGTGATATGATCCCTGTATCCTGTCTCAGACAAAGTGCATTACGGTAGTCTAACCTGGATGCAGTCAGAGCATGGATCACTGTGGCCAGATCACACTTTTTGAAGATCAGCCATAGCTGGCATATCAGCTTCAGCTGATAAAAGTCATTACATCTCACAGAGGAGATCTGGGCCACTAACTGTAGGCCACGAACCAGCAGTACCCCTAACTGGATCAAATCTTCCAGTAAAATGAATATCCTAACAAATTCAGAACTCCAAGATCCTTACTCAAGTTCAGCACACACTAGAGAGTCAACTTACATCCTTATTGTATTGATGTATGTGTTTATATCATGTGCTTTAAAAATTAGATAAAGAAGAAAATCTTTTCTCATTCTCCAGGCACACCGGATGCATTTTCCCAGCTGCTTACATGTCCTTATTGTGATAGAGGGTACAAACGCTTTACCTCTCTGAAAGAACACATTAAATATCGCCATGAAAAAAATGAAGATAAATTTAGTTGCTCCTTATGCAGTTACACGTTTGCATATAGAACACAACTTGAACGCCATATGACATCACATAAATCAGGAAGAGATCAAGTAAGTGATAACATGAATCTCGGTTGGACCAAGACTTACTAGTTCTGGTTCTGAGTTTCCGTTTTGAAAATAATTTCATACTCAAATGTGTTAAGTATTGTTGTCTAAGATATGCTTCTGTAATAATTGCTGTTATTGAGGTGTCTTACACTTTGTACCAAGATATTCATTAATTGTTTTGCCAAATTGTTATTGACGCTGGCTGCTTAGGAGATTTTATTAAACTAAAAGGTGGGACATTTTAATTAATAAATAATAAAATAAAATAGTGGTGCAGTCTTTTCAGCAAAGATGCAAAATATTTCAATGTGTTTCTTCTTTATGACATGCTGTCAGATGACCAAGGCTGCTTGCACATGGGAGGGGGGAGTCAGTGGTCTTCAAGTTACTGGCACGATTGTTTGTAAATCTGTACATGTAACAGCAATTCCATATGCAACAGGGTAATCTGTTTTCCCACTCTTGTTTGCCTTGTTTTCCCTTTCATACCAGATGCACATTGGATTGCCCCCCAGGTCAGGCCACCGTAGAATTGCCAACTTCTAGGTGGTAACTGGAGGTCTCCTGGGATTACAGATCATCTCCAGACAACAGGGATTAGTTCACATGGAGAAAATGGCCAATGTGGAAGGTGGACTCTATGCCACTGAAGTCTCTCCCCTCCACAAACCCCACCCTCCTCAGTCTCCACCCCCAAAATCTCCAGGTGTTTCCCAACCCAGAACTGGCAACCCTAGGCCACCATTCTGATTCTCTACCCACTTTTTCTTCTCTATTTTGGGACGCACGCGTTCCACTGCTTGGGAATAGCTCAAAGCTGAAATCCTTTTTTTTTTAAAAGACCTCTGTGTTTGAACAGCACAGCTAAGGAATAAGGCAATATTTGAATCTTTCTGCCTCGCTCTCCATGCGTGCCTCCCATTAATGAATTAATTCCTCCCTCCACTTGAGCAAAATTACTGCTCTGGGAAAGGCATTAGGATGATCTCCTCTTCCCTCTGATTAATGGATGAATGAATGAGTTCCTCACCACGTTGGGCAAGGCAGTGGGGCCAATAAATCCCCTCCCCCACTGAATAATTTCTCTAGGTTACAGCTACATTTCAGCTCTAGGTAAGCAAATTCCCCTCTTCCTCTGTGTCAAAGAATCTCTGTGTTCTAGGCTGGGGCAGACCCCCCCCCCCACAAATTGATTTCTTACTAGGTTGAGCAAGGTAATGGGGCCAATTCCCTCCCCCCCCTCTGGGCAAGCAGATTTCCCCCTCTCTGTCTGTTCAAGAATCTGCATTTCTGGCTGGATACTGGTAAATGTGGGTGTTTTCTTTGGTTATGCTAATAACAGTAAGCCAGGAGTCCCTGACCCACCCAGTCTTCCTACTTCAGTAAGACAAGCATTAGGTATTGCTTACAAACGTCTGTGGTATCCATCCCTCCCCGAAACAGTGAAATATGCCTGAGGATCACTGAAAGACAGCAGCACTATGATGTTCAAAAACAAACAGAAAGGAGTTCAAATGACAATGTGGAGAAGGCAGAAATAAAGGGGGCATTCCTTTTCATTGAAACTGAAGGCGTCCCTTCCCTTCTGGACATATTAAAAATATGGCACCAACAGCAACACGGCAGGAAGGTTGGGGGGGTTCTGCCCTGGTTTTATTAAAAAAATCATTTCTTTCACCAAAACAAAACCTTGCTCACAGTTGGGGTATGAATACAGGACAATGTCATGTGGAAACAGAAAGAAGAAAAAAACCCACACAAGTTTGGTGGCTGAAATAGGGAAAATCCTGTGTGTGAAAGCAGACCAACTTTGCTAACTGAGCAACTAAAAATCAAACAAGCACCAAGAAAATGGAAGCTAAACTTTTCCCATGCCGTGACAGTGAAACAGTTTTATGATCAACTGTACTGTTACAATAACCTTTATTAGCAATTTGTGGTTACACAGAGACATTTTGTATTGGTTGTATGGCTGTGGTTAGCTGGTTTGGCCAGATTCCAATGGCACAAATAAATCCAAGGTCTTAAGTTCACATTCTGTTCCTCATTCCTGGACAGTCTATCCATGCAAAAATCTACTGAATTGTAAACATTGATTATCATCTTTGTAGAGGTAGTAGTTCCTGTCCTGATCCCAAAGAATGGGAGAGAGAAAATTGATTTTGTGGTAACTTTTGTTAGACCTATTTCAATTGGAAAAGAAGTACGTGGATTAAAGAGTCACAGGAAATACATGTCTCCACTACCATAGCTGTGAAATAATTTCAAGTGTGAAGAAGGATTGTGAAGCACACTACCTATAAAATAATGAATCACTGGTGCAGTGATTTCAGGTTGTTTGAGCAGATACCACACCTCAGAGGCACTCTGGCATGCAGCCAGTGTTCAAGCTGTACACAGCGTGGGACAGATCATGTGGATTGGTTGGACATCAACATACACCCTATATTAAAAGTGTGCTGTACTGCATTTCAATATTTCTGTTCTAAAAGGGTATTCATTTAGGGCTACAGTGGAAAACATACAAGAATGACAGTGCTTTGGAACCACAGATCTCAAAGTTGGTGTCAGGTTTTTGTTTGTTTGTTTGTTTTTTAATTCTTTATATAGCCCTTATATATAGTCAACTTTTAAATTTTGAACTTGCCAGTTTTCACCACATGAAGTATAAATCTATTTATTTTTCACATCTTACATCCTGGGAACCGTGGCTAGAAAATAAAAAGCTGTCAAGTCTATTTGGTGGGTGCAGTCCAGAGGAAGTCAGTGGGATAATCATATAAGAGGATTATGTCATTGTTGTTTGGATTGCACCCAAAAAGTGCACGCCTCTGTTGAATCCAGGTATCCTCGATCCAAATCCAACATACTATCTGTAGACAACATGGGTAGTAGATTTATATTATATCTTGTTACTAAAATAGCAAGAGTATATGGGATATAGGAAATAATTCCAGAGGAGCAGCCTCATTGGTCTGTTGTAGGAAAAACAACCAAAAATTATTTATTTATTCCATTTATAGTACACCTTTCTTAGTCAGACGCAAGATGGATTACATAATTTGAATATGGAATGCCCTGTTGTTGGACCTCCAGAGGAACTTGTTGGCCATTTTGTGAGACAGGAATCTGGACTAGATGGACCATTGGTCTTATCCAGCAAGGCTCTTATGTCCTTAGGGTTTATTGTAGGTTTTAACCTGCTCTTCCTGCATTGTGTTCTACTTCTGTAGCTACATTTTTCTGCATTGTTTCTGCATTGTTATGTCTGATACCATTTTCTTTATGCATTGCTAAATTTTGTAATCTTAGTCCTATTGCATTGTTTATGGGTTGTCTTACACGGTCTGATTACATTGTGATCCGCCTTGCACCTCAGTGAGAACAGTGGACTATAAATAAATAAGTTCTAAACTCCACAGCAAATTGAAGCTTGCTTCAGTTCCCAAAGCCAGAAGCTTTTAGTCGTGCTTTGCACATGAAAGGAGGAGAGAGGAACAAGGGGAGTGCATGAGAACAAGCTCTGCTTGTCCCATCGCAGACTGATCTCTGTTTTCATGGATCTGATTTTGTCATTCATAATTTCCAGATCATCTTCATAGGCAACTGCACATAGTACATGTCAAAGTAGTCTAGTGGTTGCTGATATTGCACTGAGCTTTGGAGGCACCTGGATAGACTCTGACGCCCAGAGTAAGATTTGAGTTGGGCAGGGCTTGCTTGTGTAGTATTCCATCACAATGTCAGGGGAGCAGACTTCTACATATGGGTCTCCTGTTGTAGGGGCACATGTTTCTGTGCATGAAAAGAAAGACATGCATCCAGCAATTTTTGTCAGGTGGGCAGAACTCAGATCACCCACAGGCCAGCCATGTATGGAACTGGGGCACGCAGCTGCTGCTTGCACGTGCTGGAGCACCAGGCAGCTTTGAACTAAATTTATTGACTCATATCAAAATATTCAGCAAGCACGAAGGTAAAAAGCATTGCAGCTCTTTCTCAGCAAGTTTCTCAAGATGAGCAAAAACTTCGGGAATCTAAACTCTTATGTAACCTTGAACTTTGCTAAATCCAATTAGGTCTGTGTTTAATAAAGTGTTGGAGAAAAAAAATTAATTCCTCAGGATGGAGAAAGTGTGACTTTATTTTGCTTAAAAAATATCTTCTAAATATCTTGAGTTGGTTCCAAAGGTACTGTTCCACTAATGGAACATGTCTCTTGCACTAGAGAAAGACTCCACTGTTCGTGAAAGAGAATCTTTTGATCCAGACCCTTGTACTTTTAACTTAATCTTTCCTGGAAATAAGTGTACATCCTGGGAGCTAGATCCTATTGCAGACATTTAAAAATGAGGTGCCATTTTTTTAATATGAGTTGTGGCTTCAGTGTAACTTATTAATGCTGATTATTAGTTATTTGCAAGCTCTACTAACTTCTTAAAATATGATTATGTGTTTATTTGGAGAATGATTTGTGACTGAGTGTGTTTGTTACTGGACCATCTTCCCTAGAGCAGTCCTGCGATGTCGTTACATAAAGGAATTCAAGGCCAACAGTAAGAGCTGGAAGCATGTAAACAAAAAAAATCAAGTCAAATGATTAAAATTTAAAATAGGCTTTAATGTTTCTTTGTCTCATATCCCCGATTCTTTGGCTGTCTTTTACAAAGAGAATAAGGGAACACTTCTCATTACTTTCTTAGGCATCTAAAAACGGCAATACTACCTCTACCCAAAATTTCGATAGAGGGCAAAAGTGATTTTTGTTACTCCTAACTTGTCTGTTCATCTGTTTTTCTTACTAGTTTGTTTTTCACAAACAATTTCTTCAATCATCTCATGATTATTTTAACTCTATAAAACTTTGAATTTCTCAGTTTCTGTTGCAAATAAGAGATTTATATATTTATTCCACGCATGCTCGTGTTTCATTATACTTGTTTTCTCTTTTCTGATGAGTCTGCGTGTTCTCTCTTACAGAGACATGTGACTCAATCAAGTGGTAACCGAAAATTTAAGTGCACTGAATGTGGAAAAGCTTTCAAATATAAGCATCATTTAAAGGAACACCTACGAATCCACAGTGGTAAATATCCCACGTCTTACTTGCCAGAGCAGAACATTGTTTACTCTTTCTCTACTATTTGTAGTGTGAAAACTGCATCTGCTAATAGTCCTGTAGTATAAATTATGTCTTATATTTTATTGTCAGTGATCAGAAGCAGCAAAGGAATGCCATATAGGTAGTTTTAATGTGTAAGCTAAGAAGCTGCCTGGTTATCATACTGTCTAGAGGGGGGGAGGGAGAGCAATATCATACAGATATCGTTGTTTTTACCTGGATTTTTTTAAACCCTGTTTCTTTCCCCCTAAATTTTCTAAGGAGGGACTCTAAACACAAACAGTGTATTGATTCAGCTGAACCAACAACCCCCACAATCCTAGTACACAAATAGCTGTTTTGGACACTCATGCTTTATGATGTTTCGAATTTACGAACACACGGAATCCTGATTTTGTAGTGAGCCTTAGACTCAACTCAGTAAATGTACTGAAATATGCTTAAAGAGAGTGTGCAGTGAACTGCTCATGTCCCTGTGGAGTTTAGGTCACTTAACTTTCACTGGACTGTATTCACTGTAATGCTTCCTTCCAATGCCTTTACTGCAACATTGCATGCAAGGGTGGTATAATGGCAGGGCCAGCATCAGCATACACTGAGGTGGGGCAGCTGTCAGGGCTCAAAGCCTCTGGAAGGGCCCACCATTGGTGACATCCCCTTCACACTCTCTTGCTAGCTCTCCACTACCCATGCTCCCTGCCACAAGCACTGGCCAGTGGCACTGGAAAATCTGCAGGCAGCTGTGACCATGGGCAGTGGGATGGTTTGTGAGCAGACAGTGGGAGAACACACAAGCATGTGGGAAGCATGCATGACGGAGGGAGGCCCCAAACCTGGAACCGGACCCGAAAGGTTTCACACTTGAAAAGCTTTAAGAGAGTGGCTGTAAACAATATTTGATTTCGTTTACTGTATTGTAATGTTATGTCTTTTTTCTCCCATAGGAGAGAAGCCATATGAGTGCCCAAACTGCAAGAAACGTTTTTCCCATTCTGGTTCCTACAGCTCCCACATAAGCAGCAAGAAATGCATCGGTTTGGTGCCTGTGAATGGCCGAGCACGATCAGGGATCAAGACATCTCAGTGCTCTTCCCCATCCCTTTCTGCGTCTCCGGGTAGCCCAGCAAGACCACAAGTACGGCAGAAGATAGAAAACAAGCCCTTACAAGAACAACTTCCTGTAAACCAAATTAAAACTGAACCTGTGGATTATGAGTTTAAGCCCATAGTGGTTGCTTCAGGAATCAACTGTTCAGCCCCTTTGCAAAATGGGGTTTTTAGTACTGGTAGCCAATTACAGGCAGCCAGTTCTCCTCAGGGTGTGGTGCAAGCTGTTGTTTTGCCAACCGTCGGTCTGGTGTCTCCAATAAGTATCAATTTAAGTGACATTCAAAATGTACTCAAAGTTGCGGTGGATGGCAATGTTATAAGGCAAGTATTGGAGAACAGTCACACCAGTCTTACATCCAAAGAACAAGAAACAATCAATACTGCATCCATTCAGCAAGCTGGACATTCCCTCATTTCAGCTATCAGTCTTCCTTTGGTTGATCAAGATGGGACAACCAAAATTATCATCAACTACAGTCTGGAGCAACCTAGCCAACTTCAGGTTGTTCCACAGAACCTGAAAAAAGAAAACTATGCCCCAGCCAACAGCTGCAAATCTGAAAAGTTACCTGAAGATCTCAGAGTGAAGTCCGAGAAAGAAAAAAGCTTTGAAGGAGAGACCAATGATAGCACTTGCCTTCTTCGTGATGACTGTCCAGGAGATCTTAATGCACTTCAAGAATCAAAGCACTATGATGTGAAAAATGTCTCTCAGCCACCTCAGCTCAGTGGCACAGAAGCTGAAAAGTCTGAATCCTCTGGTTCATCAGAAGCAGGGGAGGCTAACCTATCTCCCGGTCAACCTCCTTTAAAGAATCTCTTATCCCTCTTAAAAGCCTATTATGCATTAAATGCACAACCAAGCTCAGGAGAGCTCTCCAAAATTGCTGATTCAGTAAATTTGCCATTGGACGTAGTAAAAAAGTGGTTTGAAAAAATGCAAGCTGGCCAAATTTCTGTCCCATCGTCAGGACCATCTTCCCCTGAGCCAGACAAATTAAAAAATTCTGTTGATAATGAAGCCCCTACGGGACTTACAATTGCAAATGAGCATCAGGACATCCCATCGGATTCTCAAAGCCCTCCCAACACAGATAAACCACAGACTGTACCAGCAGGATCTACTAGAAACGATTCACGGAGTAACACGCCATCCCCATCACCTCTTAACCTCTCTTCATCTAGAAATTCACAGGGTTATGCGAACCCTAACGAGGGTGTCCAGGAAGAGCCACAAATAGAACCTCTTGACCTTTCACTACCAAAGCAACATGGAGAGTCCTTGGAACGATCGACTATAACTAGTGTTTACCAGAACAGTGCTTATTCTGTCCAAGAAGAACCTTTGAACTTAACTTGTGCAAAAAAAGAATCGCAAAAGGACAGCAGTATTACAGACTCTGAACCAGTTGTAAATGTAATCCCACAAAGTGCCAATCCCATTAATATTGCTATACCTACAGTTACTGCCCAGTTACCTACAATTGTTGCCATTGCCGACCAGAACAGTGTTCCATGCTTAAGAGCTCTTGCTGCCAATAAGCAAACCATTCTTATACCACAAGTAGCTTATACTTATTCCACCACAGTCAACTCTACCATTCAAGAAACACCAAAACAGCAGGTGCAGCCTAATGGAAGTCAGGTATCTAAGGTTATATGTATTTATATGTAAAAATGTAAGATGATGAGGCAAGATGTCAAATTTAAGATTTCACCAAAGTGGGGAAGATACGGTGTTGCTAATATTAGATTCTTTTGAATGGCAGTGCACGGGGGATTAAAATTATTGCAACCTACTTCACACTGGGTATAAGAAAGGGGTGGGCATTTCACTCAATCTGCTACCAGCCATTTTAAACATATACTGTGTGACCTAGTCTCGTGACTCTACATAGTGTACCTCAAGAAGCTGAGATTGTAATTTCACTTGCCTAGATTGTGTGGGATTCTCTTGCGTTACCTGGTTTTTCCAAGCTTTCATAACCGTGGGTTTTTCCCCTCTTTTTTGTTACCTTTTGGGGCCCTACCTCAAAAGGTCTAGAGGAAATGATAGGCATGTATGAGATTTCTTTAAAGCCTCCATGTTTATGGTATGATTATGGCTGCCTGTGTGAAATAGTCTTCCCTTTCAAAACACACCCCACCTGAACAAATTGCCGAAGAGAAGACTTTTCTATCAAATGTTCACATTGACTAAAAGTTGGCTCAGTGCCATTTCACTCCCCTGACTACTGCCGTTTCCTTCTGGGTGCCATTTTCTTCCTCCTACTCTGTCCTCTGCCGTCTTTCTTCTCATCTGGCTGCAGAACCATTTAACCCATTAGGCCGATCTGTGAGATTTTGTGCTTGGGCTTCAGTGATGTCACCCTGCTGTGCCTGACACGAAGACCTCTTCTACAAAGAGAAAATGGGGGTAAAGCATGAGGGAAAGAACATCATCAGACGAACACAGGCATGATGTCATGAGATCTGGCCTGGTAACTAAGTAATGCCTGTCTCAGACTCCTTGGTAGAGCACCCTTCCAGCAGGGGCTTCACCAGCACAGCTGCCAGCAAAGGCTCCTCTCTTGGGCACAGCCAAAAACCTCACTAGGAGAACAGCTGCCAGCATGGAGTGCCCAGGCAACTGAAGTAGGAATATCAAGGGGAGAATGGTCAGTCCCCACTGCAGTATGTCTACCTAGGAGACTACGTGGCAGGAAAAAAGAGTGGCCTTGCCACGTTTGGGGTGTGCCACACTGTAGCCTGTGGCTAGATCTAGGGCCCCTTCGCATAGATCCTCTGCCTACTATGTCTGGGGGCCAGATTTTGCCACAGATATTTCACTATCTATTGAAGGTTGAATACTTTATGAGAAAATAACTTCTATTTCCTCCCACCCATTCAAATGTATCCTCATATTCTCTATGTCACCTTATTGTATTGCTAATCTGAATCTAAATGTAAGATGGTTTTACTACAAAAGATTATCAATGGCCGATCATATTATTATTATTAAACTGTACTGGCCTTTAGTATAAATACATTAGAAATATATGTAGAGGTATGAAAGGGAAGATAAGCCATTTTTAGACATACTCAAAAATTATAGTACTACAGAGCCTTGGAAAATGAGTTGTTGTTTTCTGATATTTTCTTTTGCCAAAGTAGGGAAGTAATGAACCACATACTGCTAAAAGCCTTTAAAACAATCTTAATGAATACATGGCCCAAACTGTCTCGGTATTCAGTCTATAATTTGTTTCCCTATGAAGTGTTTAATCTGGTTCTTACTTTAGAATACCTTTTCCTTTCCGTTCTTCAGACATGTTTTTAGGACCCAAGTGTCTGCCACAGTTATGAGATACAGGTATTTCTGACTTTCCAGTTATTAGCAAAGTTAGGATGGCAGGTTCATAATGAAAGAGATATCAGTACACAAATAGTGGGTGCATTAGCCAAGTGCAGTTACTAATAGGTGGCCTGTTACAAGTGTCCCCCTATTGTGTGCATAGCATTTTAACAGGTCTAAGAATTTTGTTCCTTAATCTCTTAGGATGAAAGACAAGACACTAGCTCAGAAGGGGTATCCAATGTGGAAGATCAGAATGATTCTGATTCCACACCACCGAAGAAGAAGATGAGAAAGACAGAAAATGGAATGTATGCTTGTGATTTGTGTGATAAAATATTCCAGAAGAGTAGCTCACTCTTAAGACATAAATACGAACACACAGGTATGTGAGCAACAAGGTAAATGACTGAAGTGTAGTGCTTTGGCCCAGATCTATTTGTACTCACAGGCAAATATACATTTGTTACAACTGTTGGCTATAGATGAGGATGTGCATCCCGCATTCACATCAAAAGGAGTATATGTGCAAGGTTATACAGATGTGAATGCCAGTCAAGCAGCACATGAGCATGACTTACACACCTGGAAGATGTGGACATTTATCAGCAGTCTAACAGATTATATCCAGTTCATTGATTTTAATTATGACAAATGTCATGGGCCACACTAGAAGAGAGCAGCAGCCATACTTATTGTTCACGTATCCTCCTCAGTCAGACGTGAAGCAAGGGGTGTGGGGTGGGCAAGGACCCAGGCGGGAAATAAAAATACCATAACCAACGGAGTACAGTAAGGCAGAGAAGAAAGTTCAGCTCCCATCACCTTCCTTTATAAAAATTAGATCCTACCCCATCCTTGCTTTGTCCTTCAACAGGACAGGTACATGAAAAGCAAATGTGGCTGCCACCATCATGACTAATCTGGCCACAGCATTTATGAATGATTTACCAGCATCAATTACACAGGCCAGAATTCATTTCAACAAGTGATCTTTCATTTGGGATTCATACAATAGCGGGTCCATCTGAGTCATCTCAGTTTGGTGTAGTGGTTAAGTGCGCGGACTCTAATCTGCGAGGACCGGGTTTGATTCCCCACTCCTCCACTTGCACCTGGCTGGATAACCTTGGGCAAGCCGTAGTTCTGACAAGAGCTGTTCTCTCAAGGACAGCTCTGGAAAGAGCTCTCTCAGCCCCACCTACCTCACAAGGTGTCTGTTGTGGGGAGGGGAAGGTAAAGGAGTTTGTAAGCCGCTCTGAGACACCTTTGGGTAGTGACGGGCGGGGGATAAATCCAATCTCTTCTTCTTCTTCTTAACCCAACAGTTTCTAGGTTTTTCACTGAAGGAAATTAGCAATAACTTACTGCCATTTTTGGTTCTTGTTATGAATTAGTCTTGGGCAACAGTTTCGTGTTTTCAGAATTAGTTTTACTGTCTAGTTAATGCCTTTAATTTTCCTTTTTCTCTGAAACATTGTTCTTCCTAGTCCTTGCCTGGACCTGGATAGCCTAGGCTAGCCTGATCTCGTCGGATCTTGGAAGCTAAGCAGGGTTGACCCTAGTTAGTATTTGGATGGGAGACCACCAAGGAGTACCAAGATCACTACACAGAGACAGGCAACGGCAAACCACCTCTGTTAGCCTCTTGCCTTGAAAACCCTACAGAGTCACCATACGTCAGCAGTGACTGGATAGCAAAAAACCCCCAAAACTTTGAGTCTGTGGCGGACACTGTACCTGCGTAGTAGGAAGCAGCATCTCACCTGTTAATCCAGGCTCCAGTTTTGAGCCCAACGTCTGCCATGAGTTGTGTGTGTGTGTGTGTGTGTGTATCAAGTCACAGCTGACTTGGGACAACCCCATTGAGTGTTCAAGGCAGAAGATGTCCAGAGGTGGTTTGCCATGTCCTACTTCTGCGTAGCAATCCTGGACTTCCTTGGGGGTCTCCCATCCAAATACTAGCCAGGGCTGATCCTGCTTAGCTTCCAGGATCTAACAAGATCAGGCTAGCCTGGGCCATCCAGGTCAGTGCCTCTGAGCCCTACATACATAACGCCTAGGCCCTTCCACACAATCCAGAACACCGGGGGGGGGGGGACCCCCAAAACAGTGTCCAGAGGGCTTGCTGCAGATGTTCATTTGACTGCAGGGACATCTGGGATGCCCTCAGTAGGTGCAAGCATGCTCCCCCTCTACCACGTACGTGTCATCATATGAGTCAGTGTTTGTATGGGCCTCCCAGCTGGAAACTTGCAGAAAGCCTAAACCCCCAGGAAGCCACTGCAGCTCCAACCCCTGCCAAATGCAGCTCGCATTCTGCAAATCTGGGAGGCAGAGCTACCCTTACCCCTCACTCTGTTGTGAGAAGCAGCAACAGAAAGGTTAACCTCTTTCAAAGCACTCATTCCTATAATGTTTACCTGTTCAGTCAAAATGCATTTCCAGCTGTCTTCATTTCTTTGGTGTAGTAATTTGCCCTTGTGATTTAAAAAAAACAAGGCAGCGACACAAGAAATGACAGGGTTGTGCGGCAGGGTTTCCTTTGTGAACCCCCAGGATCTCTGTATGTGAATTCAGGGAACGGATTCAAGACCACCTAGTGCAAATGTGAACTTGGATCTGACGTAGCATTTCCACGGAAGGAGTGATATTCACCCACAGTGCACACCTCTCACCTCCTCCTGCCACAGTCCAGAATGCCTCTTGAAATTCTGTTCCTGAGGATGGGAGAAGCATTTTAGAGGGGCACGTTGGAGCTGCTGCAAGAGTTTGGGGAGGCACGAAAGTTGTGTGCCGCAGGTCAAAATCATTCTGCCCAGGGGACTGCTCTGATAAAGCCAAGCTGTGGACATTCAGGTTTTGAAGTTGTGCTAACATTTTGAAGTTGTGTGTTCTTTTTCAGGTAAAAGACCTCACGAGTGTGGTATCTGCAAAAAGGCATTTAAACACAAACATCATTTGATCGAACACATGCGACTGCACTCTGGAGAAAAGCCTTATCAATGTGACAAATGTGGCAAGCGTTTTTCACATTCGGGGTCTTACTCCCAGCACATGAATCACCGCTACTCGTATTGCAAAAGGGAAGCAGAAGAGCGTGATGGCACAGAGACGGCACAAGAGCACCTCAGCAACGACCACACAGGGGGTGGGGCCTCTCCCTCGCCGCTCGACTCAGATGAGAGAGAGAGCTTGACGCGGGAAGAGGAGGAAGACAGCGAAAAAGAGGATGAGGAGGAGGAAGACAAAGAGACAGAGGAGCTGCCAGAAGAAAAAGAATGTGGAGAATTACAAGAGGAAGAGGAGGAGGAAGGGGAAGAAGAAGAAGAAGAAGGAAAAACTGAAAGTAGCAGGAAGGTTGAAGAAGCTGTAAGTGAAGAAAGCCACGTGAAACAAGAAGTTATACCGAAAGGGGAGCTGGTGTCGGATGAAGATGCAAATAAAGCTTAACAAACTGATAACAGGGGTTTTGTATAACAAAAAAGAAAGAAATCTCAGCTGGTAATGAAGGTTGTTCTATACTCTACATGCTTTTGATGGAAGCACAGTAGCCTGTGCACTGTGATTCCTGTTCACTACTGTGTAACAAAAATGAAAAAAAAAACAAAATATAAAAATATATATATCCAGGTGTGCCTGAACCTCAAACGTAGTAATTTTTCACACAGTTTTCAAAGTTTAGGAACAAGTTTGACCTGAAACAGATTAGAAGAGATACGGTGACTCTGAAAGCAAAGATTTAACATGTTGTAGGAAACATGTTTTATTTGATATTTGTTGGACATCAGTTCGTTTTTATCAGTATTAATTTTTCATTTTTTTTGTTGGTTAATTTGTATGTTGTTGTTTTTTCAACTGTACGATTGGGAGAGATTTATGTTCTTTAAAAAAAAATATCAGTGAAAACAATTCTGCTAATTCCGCTTCAGTATTTTTATTATGTTTTTAAAAATGTGAGAACTTCTGCACTACAGAATTCCCTTAAGCAGAAAGGTATGATGCAGTTCCAAACAGTGCTTGACTACCTTTGTAAATTCAGCTTAGAGAAGGTAGCAGTTTATAACATTTAGATGTTGTCAGTAGAACATGTTCTCATTTAAAGTGTATTGTTAGCCTTAAGGAAGCAGCTGATAGAAGAACTGAAGTTTCTTACTCATGTGGTTGAAAAAAATGTAGTTTGAAAAGATTGTGGTGGAGTTCTGATTGCAGGGACTAACAGTGTTAATACTGGTGAGGACAGCTAAGTTGTCAAAATCAGTGTTTGTAATTGTGTCTGGAATATGTAGTAAAAAAAACAATATGAAGGATATGACATGAAGCTTTGTATCTCCTTTGGCCTTATGCAAGACCTTGTGTGCTGTAAGTGCCATTTCTCAGTATTTTAAAGGCTCTGACCAGCCTTTCTCCAATATGTGGCCTACAATAACTAGCATTTGTTGATTTGTATTAAACTTCTGTAAACTAAATCATGGGGGGGGGACATTCAGCCATCAGATAAGTAAAAAAGCACTGGTACATTTCATAATGTAATTCTTCAGTATTTTTTAATTACTTGGGGGAATTTCTCTACAGTAATTAGGAAGGGAAATTTCTAATCTAATTTTATTGATTTCAGTAATTTTCAGACACATACATGATATGTTATTGGGCTCATAAATGTTTCCAAATGTTAGTTATTCTGGACCCCATTTATTGACAATGTTAGCTGATTTTAACCTATCAGTATTATTTTATTTCTTTTAGTTTATAGCTCTGTGCAACATTTTGTACTGTATGTTTTCAAACCTGGCAGTATTAATACCCTTCTTACTGACATATGTACCTTTTTAGTTTTAGAAAACTTTTATATTTATGTGTCTTATTTTTATATTTCTTTATTTATTACACAGTGTAGTGTATAATACTGTAGTTTGTATTAATACAATAATATATTTTAGTATGAAAATTTGGAAAGTTGATAAGATTTAAAGTAGAGATGCAATTGGTTCTCTTGCATTGAGATTTGATTTAACAGTGTTATGTTAACATTTATACTTGCCTTGGACTGTAGAAGAGAAGAATTAAAATGGGAATGTATCAATTTTACAATTGCAATCAGTTCATTTTACCTTTTCCCAGTTTTTAATATAAAGCTCTTAAATTTTGAAATTCACTGTCTGACTAATAGCATGATGCTCTGCAGTTTTATTAAGAGATTAGTCTAACCATAAAACACTCATTTCCTTAGTAAGCCAAGCTAGAATAATCTTCTAAACAGTGTTGGGAACAATGTTTAACATTTCTGTGCCAATTTGTTCCTGTATTTCATGTATGTGAGTTACAAATCTGAAACTTCATTATTTTTTTTTTAAGTTCCTTGTTACATCCTGGTCATTTTCTAGTTTTCTACCAGACTCCCCATCTCACAATAAAAAAGTCAACAAGCCTGAGTTACTGTCATTATTGAGTTATAATGTAGGGAAACTATTTCTATGGGGAAAGACTGGAACTGTGTACAGGCACTTGTTTCTGCCTAGCAACAGGAGTGGCTCTCCTAGCCCCGATTTCTTCACTGATAGCTTGATAATTGTATAAATGCAGTGGTATGGGGGGGGAGGGGCTATAATTGCAGCCCTGACCTGGAGAGCCCAGGCTTGCCTGATCTCGTCAGATCTCAGAAGCTAAGCAGGGTCGGCCCTGGTTAGTACTTGGATGGGAGACCACCAAGGAAGTCCAGGGTTGCTATGCAAAGGCAGGCAATGGGGAAACCACATGCGTTCGTCTTTTGCCTTGAATACACAGCGGAGTCCCCATACTTTCCACCACCAGCGTCTTCCACTTGTCCCATAGGAGGCTGGATCATAGCTGATTTTGCTCTAGCAACTGTCACTCCACATGCAGCTGCTGGCGTGACCTTGGGTCCGTCACAGTTCTCCCAGAGCTGTTCTGCAAAGAGCAGTTTCTGTCGGAGCTCTCTCAGCCCCACCTACCTCACAGGGTGTTTATTGTGGGTAGGGGAAGGGAAAGGAGATTGTAAGCCGATCTGAGACTCTGAGTGAAGGGTGGGGTATAAATCCAATCTCTGCTTCTTCTTAAGGGAAAGATCTTGATTTTCTCAGGGTTACTCAGTTCCTGCTATGTGAGGTCCTTTAATGAAGGTGTCTCGTTCAGTAAATGCTTTGAACAGTTACACCCCAAATATATATTCATCCACAGCAACAATATTGAACATGCTTCTGGCATCTTGTTTCAGGCTTTCTTGAAATAACTGGAAACACTAGGAAAACTTGCAAAACATTTGACTGGAAGCCATGGCAGGGCATAAAAAGAGCATGTTCTACAAGCTGTGATAGATCTACGGTACTGCTTCCAAGTCTCCTGAGACCATCGCATCTGTGTGAAGCCTCAGACTTGCCCAGTTCAAGCTTCTGGGGGGAACAAGTCTGTTAGAACAAGCATATGTTGCATGCAGACAAATGGGTTGTTTTAGTGGTTTAGTGGGTGTTACAAGGTCAGCAGCTAAAGTAGCAACCACACATCTGCTTCTAGTGGGGTTTTAGATTTACAAGAATGACTAGATAAAAACCTTGCGGAGATACCATATAACGCAGTTCTGTTAGTTTTCTTGTTTCAGCAGTGTGTTACAAATACTCTTGGATTTTGGAAAGGGAATTTATCTTAAATACAGTTTTCTATACAAAAACTGAAGGGATAACATTTTCTAAAAATGGTAATACATTGCACCTGTAAAATGTTCCAGTATTTCCAAGTGGCATAGTTCTGCTATACCTTTCTGACCACTAAAAGCATTTTGACATAAATGTCATATTCATTGTGTTCTATCTCATTTCACACCATTTTACCTGCCATTAAGCATACAAAGCGTGCTGTTCTTATATAAGAGAATTTCTTTTGATGATTACATGTTATACGTGCACCCCTTGCGATATGAATAAGTGGCTGCTTAACTAATATACTTAATTGAAGTAAAAAGTAAACATGTTTTCTTTAGAGATAAGCTGGGAATTAGTATTTAAGCAGAGAATGAGGGTAAACTGGCTTTAAACACTTTAATCATAACATTAATAGCTTAAGACTCCCTTAGTACAAAAGTAAATTGGTACCTTTAAAAAGTCATTATATTTCTCATGTTCGCAGAGTGTTTTTAGAGTCTCTTCCACTGAATTTTTATTTATAAAATTACGGCCCCATAATTGAAGGATATTTTGCCATCTTTGTGTGAAGAAACTGCTTTGGAAATACAAAGTAAATATAAGAATTTGAATAATATTACATTTTAATCCCACTGTTCCCACAAGGAGCTCAAGGTGGTACGATGCATACGTGAACACTTGAAGCTACCTTATACTGAATCAGACCATTTGTCTGTTAAGGTCAGTGCTTTCTACCCTGACTGGGCAGTGGCTCTCCAGGGTCTTAGGGTGCCATCCTAAGCAAAGCTACACCCTTCTAAGCCCATTGCATTTCAATGCACTAAGAAAGGTGCAACTCTGTTCAGGACTGTGCTGTTTGTCAGGTCATTCATATCCCCCACTATATGATCCTTATAGCTGGAATTGGTGGGGATTGAACCTGGAGAGCAAAGCAGATTCTCTACCACCGAGTCAAGGCCTCTTAGGTTTCTTCTCTCCCATTCTACAGGGTTACATTTTCGTGAGCCTTGTCATTTCTTAACTTCTGAAATGTAGCGGCCCCAACGTACTGCCTGTATTTACTTTCTTACTTTCACATGCTCACATTCCCCAGCCTTGCACAATTGTATAGTACAACATGGTAGATGAAGGTCCCTGCCACACGGCAGGAAAAACTCCGGCCAAAGTGCGGCTAATTAGAGCCGCACCAAAATAGAGATGCCGCGGCGGGATCCCACGGATCCCCTGAGCCGCGGCGCCGTTGCTCCCCAGCACGATCAGATCCTGGGGAGGAAGACGGTCGGGAGGGGGAGGCTGCCGAACTGTGCATGTCTGAGCATGCGCAGTTTGGCGAGGAGCCGGGGATGCGCCGGCGAAAGGACGCGCCAGCAATCCCACGGCCGGCCTTGATGCGGCCGTCCCAGAAGAACCACCTCGGTAGGTGGTTCATTTTTGCTCCGTGTTTTGGGCAGAAGGGCCGGATCGGGGACGGGTGCACAACGCTTCCCAGATGTTGCGGTGGGATCGCACCCGTTTCCTCCGCCCCGATCCGTCCCTCTCCCAGCCCAAAACCTCTCGTATGACCAGGGCCGAAGAGTGAAAGACAGTGACTGGCTGCAAGGCATCCAGTTAGATTTATGACTGAGTAGTGATGGCTCAGAGGTTAAGACGCTGGTATGAAGACCGGAAGGTCGGTAGCTCAACAGTTCGAGACCCAAGTGTCCTGTGACAGAGTGAGCTCCCGTCTCTGGTCCCAGCTCCTGCCAACCTAGCAGTTCAAAAGCAAGAAATTGCAAGTAAATAAATAGGGACCACTTCAGTGGGAAGGTAACAGCGTTCCATGCGCCTCGGCGTTTAGTCATGCTGGGCACATGACCACAGATAAGTCTTCAGACAGCGCTGGCTCTTCAGCTTGGAAACGGAGATGAGCACCACCCCCTTGAGTCGGCTTCGACTGGCTTTCGAGCAAGGGAAACCTTTACCTTTTAGTGATTTGGACAAGGTTTCTGTATTCCTAGTCAGCCACCCTAACCACTATGCCACGCCAGCTCTCTAGTGCTGATACCTTTTCAGGTACATATAAGTGAGGTAGAAGCAAACTGAAATCAGTGGAAGTTAA